TCACAATGTCATGTCATCTATCATCAAATAGTTGATTTCATGATGATGTTACATGCCCCTTGGATAAATGAATCTATCTGTCAAATGAAAAGGGAAAGTCAGAAAACAACAGAAACGTTGAGCTTCAAGACTACAAATACAATAAATCTAAAGGACTGTCCTACACTGACAGGCTAAAAGAACTGGATGACTTTAGACTTGGACACAGAAGTCTATGTGGGTTCTGGCTGATTCAAGTACTCAAAGTCCTCCAAGGCTTTTGACGACGTCAACCCAGCAAATGTCTCCAGTATGCTCTTTGAAATACAGACCAGAGGGCACGAGTAGAAACAGTGAGGGGATGCATTTAAAACGGAGATGCTTTTTTACACAAAGGGTAAAGGCACTCTAGAACAAGCTACCATGTTTTTGAAGACAATACTGTGAAGTATTGAAGTATTTGAAGACAATACCCTGGCTTCATTCAAGGAACAGCTTTATACTCAAACTAATTAGCTACTAGCAACCAGCAAGCTATTCTCCATTGCTCTCTGGGAGAATGTGGTTCAGACAAGAGACTCCATCTTGTTTTCACTTACCACCAGTGTCAGGTCAGTAAAAGGGTTATTACAAGAATCCAGGCTGAATAAAAGTATAAGCTTATGTCATCTGCCAGTGACACAAACCTCATTTTAACAGTATTGCCAAAGTAATTAGGGATAACTTTGTATTTGATCAATATGCAAGTCACAACATAGTTCTGAATTTCTAACTTCACTTTTTACAATGGGCAGTTAAGGCTCCTATGTCTTTCCTGACATGATAGCTTTGTATTTTATCAATATGCAAGTCGCAACATAGTTCTGAATTTCTAACTTCACTTTTTACAATGGGCAGTTAAGGCTCCTACAGTACGTCTTTCCTGACATGTCAGTTTGTTGCCTAGAACCTACTATCAAGCTCTGTCTTATTAGAATTGAATCATACGCCTTTGTGTTAAAATATCTAGTGAGACATTTATAATCAGTTTATCTTTGTATTTTATTAAGATTTTCTTGAAGATATAACAATGTTTTAGATCTATGATGTATTAGAATAGAATTTGGATCAAATTAGCCCCTGTATATTGTATATCATTGGTCTAGATAATCCATCATAGATCATAGAGGTAACATAAATAATATTAATTGGATCAAGAAAAGAATATTGCTGGACACCACAGATAATATTTGCTAAACATGATGCAGACTCACCCGAGAAAATTAAATTAAATTTTCTGGGAAGAATTATTACAGTAGCATGATCTACTAAGATCTAACAAAACCAGGATAGAGGCAGTTTTGAATCTGCATTCATCAGTAAGTCCATTTGTTAGGTGGTTCTATGCTATAGATTGAACTTTTTCAAGGATATTATCAGCTACCAAATACTCCATTATTTAAGCACTAAATTTTTCAAATACAGTACCTCAGCGAGAAAGGTACAGTAAGGGCTAACCAGGTTAAGTTTTCTCAAAGAGAGGTTTTATCACAGTTAAGGAAAAATTGAACTATTCCTGTTTTCATTCAAGAACAGAGGATTGAAGGGAGTTAAGGTTAAGTAAAGCTACATCCTTTAGGAATCATGTTCAAATGGGATCTGAAACCATTTGAAACCCGGCAGAGGCTTTCAGGTTGTCTGTTGACCTCTGCTAGCAGGGCCTCTGTCACGCGCCACACCAGAGGGAGAGGCGAGCAAGGAGGGGACAGTCAGCCCAGCCTGTGGCCACTTGACACGGACGTTTCCGGAAAAGAGACTTTGCCCTCAAGGTGCTTAGCTGTCCAGCCCTTTATGGAGTGTGACACTCTGAGAAGTGTGAGTTTTCTTTTGTGGTTTGTGGTTGGTGTTCCCTGGCCCTGGAAGCTGTTACCTTATGGCTGTGTGTGGAACGTCCCTAGAAATCCACCCGCCCCTGGGTGTGTAAGCCACGCCGTGCTGTCGGCTGCAGGTGCTACAGAATTCTCGAGCCCTTGCTAGAACAAAAAAAGTTTACTCTCATGCTGGCGTCTTCCCTTGGTGACTGGCTGCCTGTGATTAAGATTCTGATTGCTTTTGAAGAATTTAATGGAATGATACTCAAATTAATGACAAAAGAGGCTCCCCCCTGTGATTTGTGGTGTTCCAAATTCCATAGGGTGAGGTGAATAATGTAGTTTTAGTGCATACGCACAAACTCAAAGACTTTGCTGGGCGTTTTAAGTTTAGACTCGAGATTTATTTTTATAGCTTAGCTTTTTTTAAAGCGGGTGTTTCTATTCTTACTGCTGTGTTTGTTAGTGTTTTTGGCATTATACCTTTAAATTAACACTCTGTAAAGTTCTTTTAGTGTTTTGTAATCAAAGATGTATTGGTCTTATTTAGTGTACATTAACTTGTAAATCAGATTATGGTTTTGGTTAATTTTACAAAAATGAAACAATAAATAATGGTGATTTACTGGCTAGTACCACTAAATAGGATGAATAGGATGTTCTTAATATATTTCACTTTCAAACTAGTAACAAAATGTAACTATAAGCCAAAAAATATATAAAAGCATGATATACTGTAATACAAGTTTCATAGCAAGAAGTACTTTGAAATATGTACAAATATACACAGAGAGTCTGAAATTCTTAAGGCGTCTGCACCAGAAGGCAGATCACCTTTTGATTTGTAAAGGGAATATGCCCTCAGCCTGACATACTCAAGGCATTCCTTACTGTCAGGGTTAAGAGCACCTTGAACTCCTAATCCAGCTACACTGACCACTCTAAGTGCTCACCAGCTAGGATTATTCTTCGTGACAAATAGCTCCCTTATGCAGGCAACTCCTGAAAAGTAACGCATTTGACTAAAAAAACAAACTGTAACTTTTATACAAAAAGCTGAAAAGTCGGGTATTATCATGCTTACAACAGAAGATTATGCACAGGGGTTGTTAAAACTGACAGAAATACATTTCTCCTTCAGGTCATATAGAGGATTATTCAGACAGAAAACAAAATGCCTTCATCTGTTCAGACTGTATTTTTTTCCAAGTCCTGCATTTCGTCTCCACAAGTTATCACTAGTAGTTATCACTCCTGACCTGTTAACTGCAGTCATTATTTTGAGAAAGAGCTTAATCCACTTTCCAGTTCATTCAGAAAGTGGACACAAAATAATTCTGGAATCACGCTGCAGACTCAAATATAAACGAACTTGCAGTAATGCCAAGGAAGAGTATTAGAATTCAGTGTTCAATTTCATATCTTTAGGTCACACAGAGCTGGATAATTTTAATTTAACTGTGTTTTTTTCTGTTAGGCAGACTGACTCCTAGACCTACATCTATGTGTGTACTGAAACAAAGAATAAAAAAGATTTTATGTTTTTTCTTACTGCTCTTGGCCTAGTCCACATCAAAGTTCTAAAACACCTTACTTATTACCGTTAGTATATTTGCCTCCAGAAACACAAACATGAGTTTTATTTTCATTATACAAAAGGCAGAAAAAGAAAAATAGGCCCATTTCAATGTAACATACATTTAAATAACATTGTAAGAGATGCATGTGTGCAACCAATTTAAATCATAAGAGCTCAAAAAATGTATCCTTGAGTAAACTCAATCTAGCTAATTCTATTACATAATAGATGTTGTAATACATAAATTATTGCTCCACAAATTCTTAATAAATTAATTTCCTGTGTATCTATGCTCCCTCTGGAGACTTCAGAGGAGAGTAGTTTACCTTGGCAGGTTAAAAATAGTATGTCTGTTTTCACTCCTTGGTGTCAGGGATATTATTTTTTGCCCTTGATCATTCCAACAGTTTTAATTCTGGTCTGTATGTTGGAAGGAAGTATGATCAGGGTCTTATTTATTTAAAATCCAATGTGTGATCCTTTTAATCCCAGCACAGCACAAAGATTGTGTTTCTTATACCACAGATGTGGAGTTTCCACATTTTTTAGGAGTTTGGAAATCATTTCTGTCTCCTTTAGATTCTCCAACACTATTTTGAATGCTGAGAATTCTAAAGAGGAAGTGTTCAGCTTCAGTGTGGCTATTTTGATATTTGATACAGCTAATAAAACTCAAAATATCCAAAATATTATAGCTGCCTCTGTCAGGAACAGTTTTTTCCGGGCCCTATGCGGACGACACGATCCGAAAGGTGAAGAAACAATAGGGGAAAATATCATGCAGGAGTCGGTCAGGAGACAGGGGGGCGTGTCCATGCAGTGCTAGTGTCCGGGGGGAGGGAATCCAGGGCGAACAATCCAAGGGTAAATCCAGAGGGGGAATCCAAGACGGGAGGTTTAGTCCAAGACCAGGGGATCCATCCGTAGTTAAAACCAGAACCGGGTCGGGACCGGCGGGGCAGGGAATCAGGAACAGGAAACTAAAACCATAACGGAGCCAGAAGCGGCAGGACCCCGGGCTCTCACGACACGGAAATCAATGAGAAGCCCCGAGCAATCGCCTGCGTCTGGCTTTAAAGGTGGAACTAAAGAGGGGCTGGAATAAGGAACAGGTGTGGGGAATGGGACAGAACGAGGAAGGGCTGGAGCGCCCTTAAGAGGAGGAGTAACGATCGTGACACCTCAATCTTTCATGCGTCTTCATTCAATTTTTTCAAGAGACAAGGTCTGCAGCCTCACAGGTGTCAGACGATGAGAGAAATGGAGTTGTGCTCTGTTGTTTAGTAATCGCATTACCAGTTCTCAACAGCAGTCCTTCTCAGGATTAACTGAGAATTTATAAGACTGTTATCACAGCCATCCCTTTACAAATCCTGTGCCGGCGCATGCCTAACACAGTCTGTCTCTGACAAATGTGTTGCTGTATAGTTGTCTTTCTTCCCATGTTCTGGTTAACATATTGCTAGTATTTTTGATGTTTTTAAGCCCGTTCATATGCTTTTGCAGAAATGTTAATGTAAGCATTTACATTTTAACATTGGTCTCCTTTTGACCTTTTCTATAAAAATGTTCAGTACGTCCACAGCGCCTACCTCATTGCCATGCATGTTACCCACATACTTGAACTCCGGGATCCCAATCTTGTGTTGGGTTGGGAATCTTCCAAGAACGAGAACCCAGAGGTCCCTTCCTGAAAAACAAGAAAAACACCCCAGATATCGGACCTTGCCCTTTAAGATATAGTCAGGATACTCATTTAGAAAACACTGACACATTATTGTCTCATTCTCTACAGTATATTGAAAAGAATTTCTCTAGACGTGCGAATGCAGAACCCAGAATGTCTTTTACCACTTCCTTTTGGATGACTCTGCACTGTGTGATGTTTGCAATTAGGTATGATCTGCACACCAAAACTGAGCCAAGACCCAACACTCTACCTCATCAATCCTCATCTCTCCTGAGACTGGGTGAAGAATGTCTGTACACTTCAATTGAACGTGACGAGTCTGAGCTTGCTATACTGTGTATGTCAGCCGGAGGTAATTTCGGAGACATGCTGGTATGCTTGGCCAAAGGGAAAAAGCACCTTATTCTGCTTGTTCATTATTTAAATTGACAAGTGTGGAACAACAGCTATGACTGTTTCTTCCAACCTGGAAAAAGACTTTAGTCGAAGTTTAACAATACCACAAGATAGTATAGCCAGTGTTTTATTCGGTTCAAGTTCATGGATGTGTCCATGTTCCTTTTACGAGTTGCTTTAGGATTTTTGAAAGCTCTTTGAAACCTACTGACTTCTTACTTTTGAACTTTAAAACACTAATTCTAGACCAAAGAAAATTAAACTGAGGCAGTTTTTTGCCATTAAATTTAAACTTCTACAGATTTTACACTTCTGTGTCAGGGGTCCTGAAATTGTGCAGAAGTGCGTGTTAAACTAAACTGTGAAGCATCCCTTGAAATAAGAATGGCAGAATGGAATAAAAAATGTGCTTGTAAAATGCAAGTATTTTCACACATTCTTTCCCATTATTAAGAGGATTAGCATTGAGCCACACGACCACCATTCACCTGCAAACCAGAATTCAAATCACATAAAATATCATGTAAAATGGAACCTAGAGAAGCTAAACTTGGCCTCAACTAAAAAACAAACATCCCTCTCATGAAACCATTGAAAAAATAATATTTTAGAGACAAGGACACTGCATAACAGACAGGAGTTCTGTGAAGTAATTGCTTCTTAGAACAGAAAAGGTTCTGTTGAGGACAAAAACAGCAATGTTAAACTGGTTATTAAATACACCGTAAGTAGAAAAACATTTGTGAAAATAATTGTAAGAATCCCTTGTATTTTGTATGATCCAAATGTTCTCAAAGCATCTTACAGGAGGGGACTCCACTAAAGTACAGCCCTTGTTTGGGTACTGTGGTGGAGCATTCGCAAGCAGTAGTAGCTTTGTAATATTCTAAGCTATAGCCAGTACTGTTCTTAAATCTAAAGTACCAGTGTATATATGAAGCATCAGCTCTACCTGAAATTTGTGGAATACCGGGCTCCCTGACATGGAGAAGAGAGAATGAGAGGCATTTAATTAAGAGGAAGAGGCACAGGCACAGGTGGTTCCCAGATTAATACTCATTCATCTCGGGCGTCGGGGCCCTGAAGGAGATTACATGGTAATTAGCTTAGCTCTCTTGTGGACATTGGTCCATTTCAGAAGTGCACAATCTGGCAGAGCTTTATAGGCAAGCCAGAGACAGGATGGCAGAGACGGGACGCTAGTGACTCTTCAGTTCAAGCTGGCAGGAGAGCAGGAGATGATATCTAATATTTGCACTAATTGCATTTCCTGTCAGACAGGAGCTGAAGGCCAGATTACCAAATAGGGATCGCATGAGCCTTGTAAATCGTGTATAACTGCTGGCTTAACAGGAATTTTCTATAGACTAACTCCTAACGCAATGTGTCAAGCAGCAGGGCGTTGCTCATACAGTACCTATGTGTTTCATGTTACAGGCCCTGTGGGATCTGTATTAGAAAATCAGGAGGAGCTGGAGTGGGCTTTAGAAATCTAGTTAAAACTGAAATATCCAGCTGCTGCAATATAGTCTAACCAGTTCTGTCTCGTCCAGTATGTGTCTGACTGTCCCGGTTAACACTGACGTAGGAATGATAACCATCTTAAGCAGAAATAATAACACAGAAACAAATGAAGCATTAAGGCAGAAATGGTATTATGTCTGACTAACTGTAAATTAACTTCTTCAATTCCAGTGAAAATTAAAAGGCATTGCAAAAAAGGCATTATTTTTTCTATTTTCATCTATTAAGACTTGCACTGCTAATTACCAAGAGGGGAACAGACGAGGGGAAAGCTGCAAAGCAAAAATTGGGGGTTAATTCCACACCGAAAAGTAAAAAGAAAATAAAAAACAATGTTTTTGGGCAGGGGAGCCTTCTTTAAATGTGTAAAGATATCATGTTTCTTTATTCATTTCCATTAATGCTGGACACATTAGTGTTTTACTCATACAGCCTTAAGTTTAAATCAACGGGAGTATTGGCAAACTACCGTCTCAAAGCTTTCAAACTATATATTTTTAAAAAAACAAACCTTTACAGGAAGGAAAAGGGTATTAAATTAAATATTATCTGTCCAAAGCCACAACCTGAGGATAACTGAATGAACATAGAAATATAGGACATCTACCTTCCACCTATGTCAGTTGAGGCTTAGCAATAGTAACTTGGTAGATCTATAGGTGATTAGACAAGTATTTTTTGTGTATGGATTATAAGCTTTGGATCACAAACTTAACAATTGTATACCTCTCACCTTTATCATTTAACCCATTCTTCTTCCCAACTACTTTGATTAACAATCTTGAATCACTGAGAACCTCACGAATGAAGCACCGTGATTAATTCCTACTTCAAACTGGAGACCTAAGAGGCGTGTACTATCTTTTAAGGTATTCATTCTTTTTAATTAACACTCACTACTGAAGAATGGCATATTACCATTATAGTGACTGGTACAGTACATAAGGCTGGGCTTTACAGTGAGTGTGTGCATGACTTGTTTGTGTGGGATAGTGGGGGTTAGACGTTTGAGAAAGACAGTTGCTATCACACTGTAAGCTAACTTGAAATTAACACAGTTTAGCTATATTTGGCTCATTCATAGTTTATTCAGCTAAAGAACCTGTTATTCTGAACATGAGAAACAGACCGGTATGAGGACAGGTGGGTATGGGCTGCTTTTATCAACTGTATTTTTTACGATGGTGGCTGTTTCTGTAAACTGCCATGTAAATTGTTCTGTACGATAGCTCTCCTGCTCGCTGGAGTTCAGTTTCATGCTGGCGGGAGATTTTCTATCAGCTGTTGTGTCTGTAAATGTAACAAAAGCCACACTTTTCCAGAAGTAAAGATGGTACTTTTGTAGGAAAGTAGCTAATTGAATGTACTGTAGTACACATTGTTTTGTATACCATACATAATACAGGAGAGATACTGATGTACTGTATTTATCACACTTTGCGATCAAACAAGCTACAAAAGGAGAACAGAAAACTTAGAACATGGTTTATAACTTCTGAATTGCAATTTAACACCTTGCAGGTATTAAGTATTTATTTTGAATATTGCAACAGAGGGATGTTTGGTCAAGGAGGGTTAATTTCACTAACCATTTCAGCTTTCAGTAAGGGGATATGTTGTTAAATAAGACTGTTCATTTAGACAGAGGTAGATTTGAGACCGTGTGGGAGCCCTGCTATAGTCTCCAGGACAGAAAAGAATGATAACGTCAGATACCAAGCAAATGACTTGTATTTGCATCTTTACCAAAGTATTTGAAATGTAAAATACATTTGAGGCCCTGTTCTTTGAACATTCACACCTTCCTTGGGAAGATGTGTGCAAGATAATATCTCATTACAAAAATAGTATTGAATTACAAGCACAGGACAGGTTAAATACTGCACAGACAGTCCAATCTTTAAATTGTTAATCTGGCCCTTTACATGAGCTGATAGGAAAGGGCCTGTTCAACACAATGTACATTACAGTGGCACATGTTTGTGAAGGAATGTTTTGCTTCTGTAAAATGAGTAGTAAAAAGATTCTTTATGGTGACCCATTTCTATTAAAAGGCGAATAATCCCCCTGAGTAGGAAAGACAAAGGTGCTTTTTATTTCATTTCCACCTGTAGGTGTAGTTTTCCATTGTTTCACTGTAAAAAGCCTATCCATTTTCGACTGTCTTTGTAGACAGTTTGTTTTTATCAATTAAACCATCTGGAATGCTGGAAGCATCACAGCTCTCCATGCAACTGTCTAAATACTTCAATAGTTGCTCACTATGAAAAGGTGGAAACATTAGCTTCGTAACACAGCAGCCCATCCGGGCTTGAAAAAAAAAACAACTGGAAGTCTTAGTGGGCAGGAAAGCACCAGGGAAGCATTTTAGAACACCTTTCCTCCCAGAGGTATATCAATGCAGTATTTTGGAAATTGATTAAACAATGACTCTTTTCATTAAAAAAAAAAAGTTGAGAAGGGCTGTTGAAAACTTGTTTCTAATTCCATGTGATAAAATGGTTGTGTTTTTCACATTTGTCAAGGTGCTAATTGTAGCAGTTTCCCAGTTGTAATCCAATACTTCAATGATAAAAGATTGAAATATTTACTTTTTTAAAGTGTGGTTTGATATTTACTTTTATTTAGTATATATACTAATATTTATAATATATATTAATATATACATACTATATATATTTACTGATATTTAGTCATATTTAATATTTACTTTTTACAACTTTTTTAAATAGTCTGTTTCACAATGCCACTGATTGGAATGAAGCCCCCAAAAGCCTTGCTTTTGAACTGGTCATTTGTCAGTGTCAAAAAATTGGTGGAATGAGCTGGATAATATTAAAGGCTTCCTTTCCCTTACTCGCTGCTTTCAGTAAGCAAATGTAAATGCAGCTCAGGAAGTTTCACAATGACTTCACTCATGAGTTACAGACCTGCCTTGTGAAAGGCTTCCCAGCACCACACTCCCACAGTCTTCACAAATATCTTTAAAAATAAACAGCATTAGCTGGGCTAACTTGTCAATACAGTGCGCTATTCAGAAATCAAGCACAACTTTACAGAGAGCAGGAGCCACCTCGTTTTTCAGAGATAATATGTGTCATTTTTTTATCATTTCTTCATCTGTTTGATTTTGCTTTTAAACGCATCAAAAAAAAAATCTCACATCTGAAATGTAGAAAGGAAAAACATTGCAAATTGTCTTGACTGGGGAAATTATAAAGAGGTGCCCTTTCCTGCTGTGTAAATACAGGGTAGTACAGTATCTCTCAGGAGGCAAGAGATTGGGGGAGTTAGGGACAACACATTACTGTCACATTCTTGAAACCATAAAAACAGAAAAGGTGTCTAAATGAAAAGGTGTTTAGGTGAGGCTCAGCATCATAGAAAAGAAAGACAGAAAGGGATCTGTGGCGTGGTCGGAGAGTAGTCACTAAAGGCAGGGTTGTCTGGAATAAAGTTGTCTGAAAGGTCTGCCATGGAGAAATACGTTTCTAGTGACACTGGAGAAGAAGGCTGTGAAACCTGAATCCAGGAGCACCTGGCAACACAGATTAGAAAGATACACGCTGGGAGATGCACGTTTGTGTCACTGCCCATCACTCACAACCTGCCTCCCGAAGAAGAAGTTGTAAATTAAAGACATGGGATTTGAAAAATAGAGGGAGAAAACCAAGATATAAGTGGAAATAGAATACATCACAACAACTGACAATAGTCTTTGAGCCTCATACTCAAATCACTTAAATCCCAAAGCAAGCAATGGGTATTTCAGTTCTGAGGGAATTTGAATACAGGTCAAGTACACCTACAGCACCTTGCAAATGTATTCAGTCCCCTGCATATCTTTCACATGTTGTTGCTTTAAAGTCTGCAGTCATGACACTCTAAAGCAGCAATTCATGTTTGTTATATACATTACCTACTTCACACATTCAAAGTAAATAACAAAAAAAAAGTAAATAGATAATATGGGAGAAAAATAAAGTTATGAATGCAAAAGGATTTAAAGCGTTTGCCATGGCAAATCTACTTTAGTCCAGTTGCACATCATTCCCTTAATGAGCCACATAATTAATTGAGTGGCCTTTGACAGTGTGCAATAATAGTGGTTCACATTATTTCAGAATAATTACACCCATCACTGTAAGCTTCCTCAGTCAGGCAGGTTCAATCGTGAAGACCAATGAGCTTTCAAAACAACTCAAGGCCAAAGGTGTATAAAAGCAAGCTTTGTGAAGTCAGTCACTGCTACCACTGGGTCAACGGTATCCCAGTCTACAAAGCTAGCCTATGACAGAATGGAAAATCCAAATCCTGCACGGAGTTGGCAACAAAGAATTTAAGTGACATTGCAAACCGTGAGGCAAAAGGTTTTGTGGTCGGACATTTTTTTTTTGTGGTCTAAATGCAAAGCATTACACCCGATGCAAACTCAATATAGTGAATTACTCAGTCAGCATCATCTCTACTGTTAAGCTTGGTGATAGCATCACAACGTTACAGCTCTGCTCGCCACCAGGGACTGGAAAGCTTGTCAAGACTGATGGGAACCTAGATGGAGTAAAGTACCAACAACAAGGTCAAAAATTCACCTTTCAGTGGGACAATGATCCAAACCAGAAGGCCAGAGTAGTAGAGGAGTACAGAGTACAGAGGAGTAGCTTAAAAATCAGAAAGAGAATGTCCTTGAGTGGCCTGACTTTACTACGTTGTGACTTTATTCATATTGAGAATCTGTGGAAACACTTGAAAAATACCAGAAATAAGTGACAGTTACTTAAATAAAAGTAAATGAGCCCCATGCAAGAGAACTTGAGCAAATCTACTGAACAAATTGGTAGTGATTGCAGCAATCTAGCTGGTTAAGACTGACCCTAAAGGACTTATGACTATAATTGCCACCAAAGGTGAGTTGATTCATGGGTGCCAATCCTTATGAAATCAAAGTACTTAGTAGTTTTTACTTTTTTGTTTCTTATCTTACCACTAGAAGTCATTCCGGTTTTGAACAGAAGATTACATTTAAAAATCTGCTTGCACCTTTTTAGAATTTCACAAAATGGGAAACTATAGGAAGGGTCTGAATACTTCGGCAAGACACTGTACTTGAAATGAAAAGCAAGCAAATCCCTCAAACTCCTTTAGTCATTGGCTGTTAAACAGTCAAATATATAAATCCCAGGAGTTGAAGGAGAAGACAGGGAATGAAACAAACAGTGATCATTCTTACCTTCCACAGATTTTCCAATACTATGCAAGTGTGTGAAGGAAGAATAGTTTTTGTTGACTGCTTTCAGGTACTGTTCGATTTCGGCACTGTCATGGTAACGGAATTCCAGCCCCCAGATCGATGACACCAAGGTCCCACAGAACAGGCACACGCTGAGAAGAAACATCACCCAGGTGCGTGCAATCCTAGAAAGATTAATTAGTGTAATCAAAAGGAGGTGTTTGCATTTTACAATGTGCTACAAATGGCTTGGAAACTTCTTCTTCTGCCATGTATTTTCTCTAGTATTGGTCATCAGACTTCTGAAGGAGGAAGTATTATCCCCAGTCGTATTTGCATGGCTGTATGTTGTTGCAAAACATGTGGAGTGTCCTTCTTGACAGTGAGCGACGCTTTCACAGATGCTCACAGTGTGCTGTCCACAGTCTTGTGCCTGTTCTTTAGAAGCATCGATCATCTTGTGTGTATCTGTTTCTAATTTGTTTATATTGTAGTGAAGTGGCAATGTACCAGCACATGGAGCTGATACACAGCTGTAAAGAGGTGCCCTTGGACTCAGTACCTTATTTAGATGAGGGCAAATTATTTGCTGGAAGCTGTAAGGGACTGATTAATTAGTTTGATTGTTGATGTGTTGCATCAGTACTGTGTGTGTTAATTTTGTGCGCCTCTATCCATATGAGCCTTTACCTAGAGCAGGCATTCTCAGCCCTAGTCCAGGCAGAACACTGCCTTCTGTCTTTTTTGCTCCAGACGATTTCTTAATCACAAGCTAATTGATTTCAGCCTTCTAATTGAAGGCATATTGGTCAATTTTAAGCTCTTAAGAAGTTGAATGGTATATATAATTGGTATCAACCCTGTATAATTTCTTACTTTCAGAACTCCTCTAATTGATTAATGAAAGGTAACTAATCAGTCCTCTGTGAAGGAAGAAACACTCGCCGTGGGAATGTCTGATACAGCGTCATTCCCACCTGTGTCTGCTCATCAACCAGTTTAGTTTCGATCTGTTGAATCAGAAATAATGGCAAGCGCATTGACGAGAGGCTGTGTCAAGTTCTGTGCGCAGATGTTGTTGGAAGCAGAACCCTTGGGTATTTTTAAACACTCAGGACTGACTGAACAAACAAGTTAAATAAGAATCTAAACAAGCAAGCAAATTAATGAAGTCGTCAATTAGCAGCTTGAATGAAACCCAGCAGACACTGTGTTCCTTCTGGACCAGGGCTGGGGACCACTGAGCTCGGGCAGGGTTTCCCAACCTTTTTTGTCTGCTGAACCCCTTCAACCTAAATTATTTGGTAATAATAAGTCCCCCCTTGAGATTTTAACTAAATCAAACCTTTCAATAAATGTAGATAAATCTTACAGCAACCCTCTTAACATGCACCTTTTCACCTTTTTCTTATCATTATTCTTATATTGTTATTTATTCATAGGACTATTTAATTTGACATTGACGTTTCCATCACAATCTCACGAACCCCCGTTTGGGAACCCCTGAGCTAGAGGATACTGTGTGCCTGGTGGTGGGAGCTGGGTATTGGATTTTTTGAAAGGGGGGAATCATTGCAGCACTACGTGCTTGAGACTGCCGTGGTTGTGATCTGGTCTGAGCAAACCACTGTGAGGCAGAGCTGCAAAATAAACCGCAATGACATTTTGCAAGAAAGCAAGAGGTGGCAGCTGGTCATTTTCCTGCTGGTGGAGTGCTTCTAAAGCAGAAGGACCACTCAGCTGGGGCAGACCTAGAGGCACCGTTAGGGAAGGACACGCATGATATTCAGCTTCGTGGAAGATACTGACACTTGGTACCACCTAGAGGGACAGAATCAGCAGTGGACGTCCCCTAACGGTGACAAATGAACCCTAAGTAATTCCTGGTAGCAGGAGCACGAGACACAAAGTCTACAGTGGATTGTAAAGAGATGTGTAGAGTATGTGGCTGCTTTCCATTCCCACTGTTGAAGACCTGGGCCCAGGGGTGCCAAGGAAAGGAGAGGTGAGTGCCCTTGTGGCCAGTGAGCTGCTTCTCAGGAGACGGACTCTGGCTCGCGAGAGACAACCAGCTCAGTTTCAGAGGGTGTGTGCTTTCCAGCTGTAGTTCAAGCAGGCAGCAAGTGTCAACGGCTGGAGCTCTGAGATGAGTTTCTACCACGCTCAGCACAATGTTAGGAATCCCTGGTGGGAAGATACAAGGATCCTGGGCAGACGCAGGCACGGGTAATAGATGAGGCAGGCGATCCAAACAATCCAAAAACGAGAGGCAAGGTGGTGGTCAAAAGGCGAAAGGCAAATCGTAATCCAGGGAGATCTCCGGTAGCAGACAGTCCGAGGCGAGAGGCGAGGTGCAAAGTCGAAAAGGCAGAAGGGGAGTCCAATAACCAGAAAAAACGAGGTACGGAAAAAACGCCAGGTAGAGCTCTCAAGGAGTAGACTCAATACCGAGCAGCGGGAAGCAGGTGAAGATGGTATACAGTAAATAGCACTGCGCACCGCACGGTGGAATGTGAGCAGGTGGTTTAACTCATGCGGCGGCGTTTGTTAATAATCACCTGCTGCTGGGGCTGATTAGCTCGCTTACGAGTTGGTCTTGACTGCCTGGTGGTCGTGACACACAACAGATGATCTTGGACTTTGACACGAAACAGACCGAATCAGCTGAGTTTCTGTTCCACCCCTTGAGCGCGGAAAGTTGGCTCCAGCACCTGACTGAACAAAGCAGGCCTGACCGAAAGCCAAGAATCTTCTGCAGCAGATGTGCAGGACTGAACCCCTAAGAAAGGAAGCCATTGTGAGTCAAGGCCATCTTTGCAGAAGGCTGCTCAGCTAAGTGACAGAGAGTGAGCTGACTTGCCACCTGACAATCAAGGGACAGCAGTCCGGGAAGATGTGGAAAGCTGGGCTATCTTCAGTGGCTGGAAAGAGGAGGGAAATGAGCGCGAGATGACTGACATGGGGGTGTTTTTTCCTGGGAACCCAGTTGCCTCCTACATCCAAGTGGGAACAGGAGCAGCACCAGTAGGCTAATCGTCACGGTCAGCGGAACTGACCTCATGTCCAGTGTATCAACGGAATGTGTTGTGAGACTCTTAATCAGTTCCCTGCTTTGTCAGTAGAGAAAGGGAGAACACGGACATTGGGCAGGATCAGGGGTTAAGCTGAGGACAGCGACAGGGCAGATACACCCATAATGAGCTGGGAACTGTTGCAAGTTGAGTGGCAGTCACACGGTGGAGCAGGATTTCTGTTTGGGGGTGTGATTGGTCTGGACAATGAAGACCCTCATGTAACAGGAGATTCACTAGACCCGAGGGGGTGATACACTCCTTCTTGGGGGAGAAGACTATCCCACTCTCTCACAGCAAGGGGAGGAGAGGTAAGGCCTGCTACCACCCAAAAGCCGCGGCCCAGTGGCTCTGTGCGAACTGGAGCCCAGGTGAGAGGGAACGTCCCCCCAGAAGCAGCCTCCTCCCAAAGAAACGAAGGAAGGTAACTTGGGGGCCTGCCGAGCAGCAAGAACACGGCCAGACCTCTTCCAAAGATCCCAGCCGGGCCAGTGTTTCCAGCGGCTCCAAGAAAGGACTCGGTGAGCGGAGCCTTTAGCCGAAGCAGATGCTACCTCCTGCCTTGCGGAGCCTGGAGTGATCACATCTGGGAGCACTTTATGGCAAGTGGAAGCGCAGTGCAGCAGCTGTGGTGGGACTGAGAACGAGCCCCAGCTTGTGGTTTGTAATGGAGAGTGGATCTGCGAGGGGTGTGTGAGACTAATAGGAGTCAGGACGGACACAGCTGTTCTACTGCATTTGGGCTGTAAAGAACGATTATGCACTATGCACTCAGTATCATGATATGAGATCCAATACTAGCAGATCAAGATAATATTGCACTTCTAGTTTGTTGTAGTGCATCAAAATGTGGGGAATACAGTGGCAGAAAAGTACGATCTGGTCCTAGATATTGTCCCTGGGTTTGATTCTGGACTGAGGCACCTTCTGTGTGGATTTTGCATGTTCTCCTCTCTCAGCGTTTTGTTTTTCTAAATTATCTCTGTGTGCTGGTGTGTATGTACTGTATACACCCGGGGACAGTTTCCACCACAATTAATGGGAATGAGCGGATAATAATAGAGAATAAAAATATACATGGTCAAATTCCTTATCATTCATGGCTAGACACTATAAAATGCTTTATATATTCACTATAAAATGCTTTAAATCTCCTTATTAGTAGTTGATGGTAAACTAATAAAAAAGTAAAAATAATCATTAGGTTTTAATCAAAACGAATGAAAAACTACAGACTTGGTTCTAAAAGCGATTCAGAACCATAGGTTTTCAGAAGTATGAACAAACCTAGAAAACTAAATATCGATTATATCCCCACTTCCCTGACATATGCCAAAGGAGGAAGCGTCCCCAAACTTTTCTCCGCGACAATAAAGAGCTTCTACACAAAACTGATACACTTTTACAGCATTATAATTTAATCACTGGATTGCTATACTGTACATCCATCTCCTAACCACTTCTTCCAATTTAGGGTACATATGTGCTATAATAAATGTAATATATCCCTACCTTCTCAAATCAGCCGTTTTTTTTTCAAAAAACAATGTCTCGGTCCTTAATTTTAAAACACTCCAAAGTCGTTTGTGTTCTTCCATTCAGCGTAGGGGCAACTGTCGGTGACTCTCCAGCGCACCGCAAAGCTCTCGGCTGGTGCCTCAACGCCGCAGCTCTTGAGAAAGACGAGTGTCTTCTTTAAAGACCGGGGTTGTTCAGTGTCCACGTACTGTAGACTCCGCCTCTGAGCCCCGACAACTGCCAGTTACTCCTCTTAACACCACTCAGACACTTCCGTTGGCTCTTGGAGAAAACGCAGCCGACGCGTATTTTTGTGAGATTTAATCTGTTTATGAAAGCCCAACGGGCGATCCGTTAAAAAGTTAAAGCTCCAACGCCCACAAAATCTTCTCGACTAAGTGGCGCTCCCTGGAGAGCACGAAGCTTTTTTGAAACTGTTCCTGTTTAGTAAACATTTTGTCATGCCAGGGCAATATTCTAGTGGTTTTTTTTTTACTTTACACTATGTTGTCGACATCATTTGTTTGTTCCTGAGAAACGGGAACTTTAATCTGAGAGGCTCGCGATGAGCAACAGCAAATAAGAGCACAGCAGCCAATGAACTGTCATTTATAAAAAAGGAAGTTTACGTTTTGTGTTTTCAACGAAGTATGTATCTAATGACTATAATACAGTGGCACCGTGACATTATAAAATATGCAGGTGCAATAATATCAATAAAATTCTATAGTCCACACAATATAACTAATCAATGATGAATTATGATGGATAATTGCAATACTAAAACAAGGAGTGGTAGTATTACAAATAACCGATAAGGGGCATTGTTTCTCCGCTCCAGCACGCCTGTGCATTGAATGTATATTGTTATATTTTTCAACTTTTTCCACGTCTCTTAAAAGCACCAACATCTAAAAAGAGGGTTAGAATTGTAAATTGACCAAATAAATCTAATACTGTACTGTGCTGGGCTGGTTTACATCCAATTGAGTTGTCACAAAACCTGGACAACAAGCATACGGACCCCTGAACAGGACTGAGGCCGTAGAAGAAACCATTCCTCTTCATCACAAATGATAGAAACCGAGAGAAGATAGCTGGCAGGAAAAAAAAAATTCAGGAACCCATTAAATCAACTTGATATTATATTGGTCACTAACAGAACGTGCATTATCAACTTCGAATAACACCAGGACGTTTCTGTAAGGAGACGTGCATTTATTGCAAATAACAACCAAATGATTAGGTTTATTACTGTTACTGTTTCCAAGACTTTTAAATGCAGTTTTCTCTCCTGCCTTTCTGTTTTATCACCAGAGATTGTTAGCTGTGTTACAGAGAATAAACACTTCCAGGCTTTGAACATGGGGTTGCCTATAGGAGATACAGTACCTGGCAACATACTATCGAATGGGGTTGGTTGCTTTGGTTACCTTCTGGAAAGAGACCCCCTCTTTAAAAGCCTGCTCTCAACCTCCTACATTGAAACACGGTACCCAGCGAATCTTTCTGCTCATTCGTTGTGATTGATGGAGTGTGAGATACACTTTTGGGGCATCTGATCTGGCAGACGTTCAAGCAATTTGTTACTGTAGCAGCGTTGTTTTTCGGGCGCTGGCTTCGATGAGTCACTTGTTTGACGGTCAGGTCCTAAAATTCCAGTGCTCTGAATCCCAAAGTCTAGGCACAAACGTCTTAAGGCACCTCTGGGTGCGATCCGGCTACACTTCTGATGATCGGTGAAAACTGCGTTGCTGATACAAGCGGAAGTAAGCGAGTCTTGACAACCTTTTTTAAAAACAATTTTTATTAAACGTATAAAGACTTTACAAATACAGCTACAACCAGAGGATCAAAAACAGGTACAAGAGAAAAAATACAAACAGAAAAAAAAACATTTAACCGTCAGAGGTAATGAAGTAAATTATGTGATCATACTGTATTTTTTACATATATGTTTTCCTTGCTTTATTATTTCTCAAAATGTTTATAGAATTTAAATAGTGTTTCAGATCCACCTCAAAAGAACTAAAAAGGGGAGTATTATTAGATCATTTTGATTTATGGATGTGAAATTTACCCAGAATGACTAATAAATTGACCATAAATTAACGCTCTTGTTCCAAATTTTCTATTAAACAGTACAATAAAATATCAAAATCCTCAAATCTAAAAAACACCTTTAACCGCCTGCAAACAAAACTCTGCAAGTCCGCCCAAAACAACTTCACAAACCTACACCGACAGATAAATGTACCAAAGATTCCCTTTCACCCCGACAAAATACACACAGATCATCCTGCTCATGCTTAAATTTAGAGAGCACTAATTTAACTGGATAAAACTTATGAACACTTTTAAACGATATCTCTTTAACTTTATTTGTAATACCAAATCTATCAGGAGTTGTCCAAACTAACTTCCAATTTATATTTTCAAACATTGCATTCCAAAAAGATAAACAAGAGGGGATAAGATGGGGTTTACAAAGATTCCTTATATGAGTATTGTTACATTTCTTATCCTTTATTTCCACGCCATCCAAGAATAAATCAGTTGTAGGACCAGAAAGGAAGTCAGTCCTAATAGCGCTTTGATTTGCTTTTAACAAGCTCACTACACCTTCCGGAATGGCATCAAAAACTATTGCATATTCCTTAGGGGTGACAGGGAATTGAAATCTCTCCAGGAATTCAGGATAAAGTCTTGACAAACTCACCTCCTAGAGAAAAGTAGGGTTTGCCACGTGTTTATAGACACCGAACCAAATCTGTTTTTGGTCATTAGTGACCTCCGTTGTAAAAAAAAGACCCACATTCGTTTACGAAACAAGCATGAATCACTACTTTCCACCAATTAGTGGATTTACTAAATGCGTAATCTGGCAATACAATGCAATGACAATTTTGCTTGGGGGGAGAGGGGGGTAGGATTGAAAATGAACAAATTCTTGCAAAACATGACAAGGACGTGTGTTAGATGTTTGACGCAATTTTTTTCTCGAAAACACCGTATCTTCAGATAAAATAATCGTGAACATCTCAAGAGTCAGAGAGAACATTGCGCAAAAAAAAAAATTCCAACTGAAACCATAATAACAGTCAAGGGAAATTAACCGAGCAACTCAAAAGTCTGTCGCTGATTTCTCAGATTACGTTTTCTATTATGTATAATGCATGAGATCATCAAAGACTTTCTTTGTCCGTATTTATCTCAAATAATCCAGGTTTGGCCCTGGTTCAGGTGCTCATCGACTCTTTACAGGGAAAGAAACATCTCGGTAGCAAACCTGAGTTAAAGAATGACACAGTTCCCGATATCGCTATAGGCTAAGGAAAGCTTTTAGGCAAAAACAGAGAATTGTTCTTGATGCCAACTATAAAATTTACTTGAGATTAAAAAATCAGGTAATCATTGTAAATCGGGAGAGAAGACTTAGTTCTTCGTGAGTGAAAAAGCTCGTTTTAGGTTCCAGGAGGCTGAATTTAGCGTGGTGGCGTTGAACTTGTTCAGTCCCTTCAACATTAACACAGCAGCGGTATTTAGAACGGGGTGAAACAAGGGTTGCAGTCGTTTGGTCTCAGTCCTGTTCATACTGCCACCCTAGATTGCCAAGAAAGGCTCCAGTTTACTGTAATGGTGATGAAGCAGATCAACTGCAGTCTTACAATCGACGGCTGGCTTTGTTAAATGCCTTGCTATTTTAGTATGTTATCGAGCAGATAACGTTTAAAATGCTGGACATGGGAAGGGAATGAGCCTCTTTTTTATCTCATGAATGTTAAACTTTTCTACAGTTGTGCGTGTCATTCAGCTGAAGCTATGAAAAGTCATAGATCCTATTGTTCTTCGAAGTAGGCTGCTTGAGGTTGTGATGTCGGTTATTGTTAGCTCATCTCTGAGACTCTTTTTGAAACTGTTTGTTGTTGTTCTGCTTTTTTGTTTGGGAGGGTATATTCATTGGACAACCTGCTATGTGAATTAACAGGCCTGTTTGTACCACAAGGACAAGTATATCTCTTAGCAAAGCACTCAATTACAGTAGACGCTGATATTTAGTAAAGCATTATCGAAATATTACTCTACTTGTTATGGGAAAGTAGACATGCCTGTCCCGTCTCAGGTCTGGTGTTTGGTTTTGGAGTGCTGTCATTTCCATCAGTGATGTAGCTGGCTTTGTTTAATGCCTTGTTATTTTCATATGTTATCCAGCAGATGTTTGGGGTATCAACCTCCTCTCCAGCTATAGATGAAAATGTGCCCATGCTGCATTAAACATTGAGTCCTGGTTTCTGGAAAAAAATGTATTTGGAGGAACATGGCATAGAATTTCCTAAAGCAAAGATGACTAGCTAAATAGCAATAAGGAACAACAACAACAAAAAAGAAGAGTGCATTAGTAAAATTCATTAATTGTACCAGAACACATGCACACATTATTCTACATGGTGCTTAGAAACTAGGTGAAAGTGTACTGAAAACAGAAGACAAGAAACAGCTGGAAGGAGATCCTCGGATGGGCTAGACTCAAACAGTGTTCCAACTTTGCACTCAATTCTACAGTTCTGTCCTCTTAACATGAGGTTATTTTCTGAACACTGTTTTTAGGGTGTGATACAAATGGAATCACGCGACGAAAGGGCTTGTTTCTACTATTTCCTTGATGTTTGTCTTTTCCGTAAATTGAAGTCTTGCTGTTTTCATACCCGTTCTAAAAATGACCGTTGTAGTGCTGCGTGGTGACAGGCGGAACACCACTAGAGGGCGCAGTGGACACGATTTAGAAAAGTTCATTTTGGAGAAGAAAAATTGAGTTTTGTTCTGCTTTTAAACAATTAAATGAGAAACGTCCTGGACGTTTGACGTTACGTCTGTGTGGAGTATATGTGCAAAGATCTGCAGCCACGGTACCAGAGGCGACGGTCTTCCAAAATCACATAGACTGCTTTGCTAGAATTATTCATCACCAGTTAATTTAATGTTTCAGTCTGCGACAGCCTGTAAAAAAACTTCTTTATGACGGTGGCTGCAGTGATAGTGGCAGACACTACGTCACCTTATTTCAAGGGAGAAACATTTATTGTCCGTGGGACGTTATTGCATTTGGTCAAGTGCTTTAACTTGTTTGAAAAAAAGCTTCTTTTTGCGAACCATGTCTGTTTACAAAGGAAAAAAAGGGAACTGAAAAAGACAGGTGCTATCTTTAACGGGGATATTAATACAATTATTTTTTAAACCATTAAGCCATTAAACCCTTAAGAAAGCGCAGTCCTGGGTTCGTTTCCATTCTGGAGATGTGTTAGTGTACCTGTTTTTCACTGAGTTTGTACTGTATTGTATTGTACTGTGTGTCTCATGGAGAGCAAGTTGGGGTGTGCGAAAAGACAAATTCCTAATACAATAAATTTATATGGCCAATAAAGTGATCTTATTTTGAGTGACTTTGTTACATAATCACTAAATCCCCTCTTCAGTGAAAGAGTTTATTGGACACAGGTGATGAGCTGATTGTGTGCCTCAGATGAACTCAGCAGCTGTGGAGTCAAGACCTCTTCAGACATGAATCTACGTGGAGCACAATGTCTGATGGATGCCTGTGAGTGTGGCACAGTAGTTGATGGCAACCTGACTGCAAGGCGCTATATTGATCAAGTCCTGGGTCCTCACGTGCTGCCTTTCCTGCTAGCTCATCCCAAAGTGACAGCACTTCCAGCAGAACATATTCCCACGCTCCTCGTGATAATGGCTTTCCTGACCATAATGTGACCGTTGTGCTCCAGAGCCCTTCTGCCAACTTGAGCCCCACTGGCAGTTTGCAGGATGATGACAGAGATGACATTGGGCGTCTAGGGCAGAGAGACCAAAGTACACGCTTGTTCAGGCTCTAGGACAGGAATGGGACAGGATTCCACAAGACAACATCTGCAGCCTGTTGCAGTGTATGTGCCACACATCAGAAGTGGTTACATACTCTACTAGACTACAACATGCACAATAGGACCCTCCTGGTGTTCAGTCCTGCTGATGCCCAGTATTAACCAGCAGAATGAATTTGCCTGTCTTGTCTCTTCAATAAAATGTTAGTACAGCTGCTACAAGAAACATTATCAGTTAACTGACACTTTCTGAATTTGTTGCGACTCTTTGGATGCTGTGTATACACTTATATATATATATATTTTTAAAATTATTTAATGTCTGGGGTTTGTCATTTGCTTGGTAATTGTGAATTTGTTCCCGTTACATGTCATGTATTTCTTGATATAATTCCAGTTTCACTCCCTCACTGTGGTTTAAATGTTTCCCGTAATAGGATGACTCATGTTCCTGGCAGTTTTCTTAAAATTTCTTAATTCAAAACTGCTAGTGGGTTTGATACATCACCCATCTGAATCTCATCCTAACCAGAATTCGATTTTTGCTTGGTGTGAGACAGAATTGAATTCAATCTAGATATCTGGACTACCTCGTCTGCTTCTCTATTGTAAAAAAAAAAACCACATGCCGTCCAATTCAACACTTTCTTCTATATCTAGTTAATTTGCTTTATTCTTTATACTGTTGAGCCAATGCTCTACATGATGTTAGTGCAAAATGCATCAAACCTTAATGATCCCAATCCCAGATGTACCGTATGACGTCAAAGAGATTTTCACAATGGATAGTCAAATTAACAGATATTTCAAGTGATACATTGTAGGTCTATATAGAATACAGTTACAGTCGTATTCAATAGAATACATAGTATTGGCACTAACCTTATCTAACAGTGTCCAGTGCTAATCGTTAATGTGTATCAAATTAAATTTCTTAAAGTATGCTTTTTTGATTATAATATATTTTATAAAGATACTTAATAACCAGTCATCCCAGAAAATACAGTTTTAAATTGAATTTACTAGCCCAAGTTAAAATATAGGGTGTACATGAGCATCTATAGAATCATCTATAGAATTAAAAGAAAGACGTTTTCACACCCTCTATTTTAGATTAGTTTTAGATTGATTTAACAAGAAACCTTGGCAGGATGAAGAAGTACAGTATTTAATTAACGTGAAAGAAATGTTATTGTCAATAACTATTGACATTATTCTTATACATATTATGTATAACACTTTATTACAGTGTATTACAGTGCATTTGTATTGTTGTAACCCATTCTTGTGACTGTGGATTCTGTTACAATCTAATATAGATACAGATACCCCCTTCTGCACAAATCTTTGGCTTTGCAGCAACATAGACGGTATATGACAGACAAAGCACCATTGCAGAAATTATTCAGATAATCCCACACTTGTCAAAATCTGCATTTTGCAAATAATGGGGCACTTATTTCAGGGAACTGCTCTGAGATTCCTAGCAGGACTACACCTCTTTTGTTTTGTGCTACATTTACCGATATTTTCCCAGGTGCAAATTAACTCGACTCCTGGATTTCTTGATCATAATTTTTAGGGTTTAGGGTCTTCTGTAACTAGACTCTCTGAAACTATACCATGGGCAATTAGGTCACGATAAATTCTTTAGGTGAAATGTACAAAAGCCGTCTTCAAAATACAAAGAGTTTCGCTCTGTCATGTTTGAAATAGTAAGCCCTGACCCCAAGCTTCTCTCCATGTCTGTGTGTCTCATGGAAAGCAAGCTGGGGTATGCGAAAAGATGAATTCGTAATGCAAGAAATTGTATATGGCTAATAAAGTGATCTTATAAAAAACAGCCCTGAAAGGGGTCCGTTTATGAACATACGAACAAATGTGAAAATGTTGGCCGTAGATGTCCATGATCACCGTGCACCACCTTGTGGAAAAATTACTTAAACTCGTTACTTCTTTGATGTATTTTTAGAATCGATCCTACAATCGCTGGACACAAGATTGTACGATAGTCTTCACTACACACCGCTGTGCAAATTATAGATTATTATAAATTTGCCTGTAAAGTCTTGACACCAATATTCCATAACAATTCGATCAATATTTTAATCCGCTGCGCTCATGTATTATGAAACATTAAAATAACCGAACCTTTTTTTAAGAATCGTCATCTATTGTACCCCAGAAAGGAACTGTACCACACGATAGTGCTTATACGACTGTGTGGAATGTTACTGTTAGGTCTGCTGGAGAATTCGTGAGCCCATTACATACAGTATACAATAATATCTGTCCCTGTGCATTGTGGTATTATTGCTTTAGTAAAACTGATTTAAAAATGGTTCTTATTTTGTATATTTGATTATGTGGGTCGTGTGCTCTTATCACATCATTTTATTATCATGTTATTCATATTTTATCGTTCACGTGTACATTTTTGCATGTACATGTTGGATTAACGGCGCCACCTAAATTAATAATTATAACTGTGCATTTTAGATAATTTTCCAGAATTTCACACTATGACCTTGATTTGCCTAAAGAGAATATTTAGCGAGCCGGTATCGACATCTCCTAAATTGCATAATTGAGAATAGTTTGTGAAGTTCTGTTATCGTAACCAAGTTAAAAAGCAGCAACTTGTTACGCTTAGTCAAAAAAAAAAGAGCCGAAGTCTTTACACCCTCCTCCTCTCTTCTGTGTTTGGCCGACCGTCGGATGTGACGCGCAGTGTTTTCCTGTTAGCAGTTTTATTCTGGTTCAAGCCAGTCGGAGGAGGAGGTAAGAGTGGAAAATGGCCGACGGTGTGGATCACATCGACATCTACGCGGATGTTGGCGAGGAGTTTAATCAGGTGAGCATGCATTATTGTTATCCTCTCGGTGCGTAATGCAGAATTGCAATTTCGTGTGGAAGACCGTAAAAAGGACAGCCGTGTTTGGGTTTGTTTAATGCACCTTTATAGAAAGGATTTCTATTTTTGTTCAGAGAAAGACCTCGAGGGAGTGTTTTTTTTTTTAGATTAAAGGGTTATATAAGCGAAGGGCCCAGCACCCTAGATTTTCGGTGCCCTTAACGAGCCGGGGGAGGTGAGCCCAGTCTTTCGGCGCTGCGCCCCGCCGGAGTTTCCCGGAGGAGCAGAGAGAACGAGCGGCGGCGGCGGCGGGCGGCGCGGCGCGTGGGAGCGCTTCCATTGTTTGTGTCGCGGGCTGAGGCCTTGCTCGTGAGCCGCGCGGGGACGTGCACGTCCTCGGGGAGCAAATGTCCGGGCTTAGAAATACCCCCCCCTTCCCGCCTCGCCGGAGTCTGATCACCGTTCATTTAAAGCATTAAGTATTCACAGGGCTAGAATTAAAACGGTGCGTGTAGCTGACCTTTTGTTTTTGTTTGCATGCTTTGAAGCTGTAAGCGATCCCAGTGTAATATGACCCCTCAGACGTAACGTGATGTTGACGAAATTTAAAATATAGCACTCTTGCGACGTAAACACCACGTGCACCGTTTTTATTAATTGCGATATTTTTTGGCGCCGCTGACATTTTCGTGCTTCCTTTTGTTTAGTTCTGAGGGTGATGTTTTCAGCGTGTAATACTTTCATGGACACATTAAGATGTGCTCAAAATTATTTTGGCGTTTCTTCGGTTGTTCGCACGTTTCGGAATGCATGATACTCAATTTGCATGTTCAACATTTATTAAGTATTTTTGTGCAACGTATAAAGTAGACCCAAATCTTATTTTTGCTGAGACACATTTTCGTCTTAACTTTCATTAAGCGTTTGCAGCGATCGCACTGAGAATCTTGTTGCATAGATTTGTTCTGTGAGCTGTAAATTAAATTGGGGTCTATTTCTTAAATACTTGGAACGGATTTGGGGGGGGGGGATGTTTTCTGTCTGCTAAGAGCTCGTTTGAAGCGTCTCATTACAGCCTTTAACTTGAAATCGCGACTTTCCTTACTGGGTTGGCGTGCTTTTCAAAATGCTATTGTTCTCGGTACCAGAAAATCAAGGTAGTTTTTGTACGGGTTTCAATTGCAGACCTGCTGTCGTTGAAGTCATCTTAAAACTTCTCACAGTTAGTGGTTTAGGTTATGTAGGCATCAGCCCAGGCCGTTTCTGAAAAGAATTTTCATGCACACCGTCCAGGAGTGATCGGTCTCAAAGGACTGTGTACTGTGGGGATTTCTGATTGCGTCCCGCGCCCTCAGATTTAACATCTAAGGTTTGTGTTTGTTCGTTGTGAGATCCCAATTGCGCCGGGAGCTGAATCCCCGAAGTTACTGTACGAAGAGTTCCGAGAGTGTATAATTTCAGCCGGGCGCATCTGGGTGAATAATTGTGCTGGGAAAAGACATTTTTAAAATGTGCGGTACGTCGTGATGGTTTGCGCGCCTGCGGCTTCTAAAGCGTGAAAGCGATTGAAGTGCGTTCCCACCTCGGTGGCGGTGATTTAGGTCTCGGAGTGCAGAGCTCATTCTTAGCAGTGTGTTGCGTTTTGGTACTGCAGTACTTCCGTGTGTTATCGAGTTGTGCTGCCTCGAATTTTATTGGGGTGTGGCGGATGGAGAGTATTCGTTCTTTTGGGGGGTGGGGGGGACTGAATAATACACTGATACACTTACGCAGTGTCCAGTACTCATCAGATTATCACAAGTCAAAACTTTGTTCAGGGTGCTTTATAGTTAAGCATTTATTGCATTCCGCCGCGATTGGAATTAGATCGGGCAGCGGGGTTAGTTTCCCTCTGTCCGTCCATCTTCAGAAAGGTGGTGAGAGCTGTGGCAGACTGGACTCTTGGAAGCGAAGGTCACAAGGTGGAGACCGAGCTCTGGGGGGTTTGCAGGTCTATAGTAGGGTGTACACGTATGGGCGACTTCGTCGCCGAGCTCCGGGGGGGGGAGATGCAACCTCCACATTGTAAACACCCCCCCACCCCTACCCCAGACTCGAACCCAAGGCTGATCAGAGACTAAATTGTCCTTTCACTTGTTTATTCGTTCCTTCCTTGGGGGGTGGTACTCCTTCCTTAGTCTTTGTGCAGAGTTTGGCTTCACCTGCACTGAGCTTTGTAAACACTGCCCTCTCAGCCCTGTTGGGAAGCTGGAGAGCTTCTGTATATTCACAGCACAACCCTCCTGGTTATGGCAGATATTCGGGGCTGGTGATTCGAACAGGGAAGCAGAATGTTACAGCGGGCTGGACCTGGGGGTCATGAGTGAGGCGGGTGTTTTCAGGCAGGGCTCTTTGACAGGGTTCATGTCGTTGCCACACTATAGAAACTCATGCCTTCTAAACATCTTACTTTTGCAGCTAACAATATTCTGGGGGACTAGGACTCGACGCTGCTGGTCCTTAGTAAAATCCGATGAAGGCTCAGCATTTGCGTTGGCATATTCACACTCGAGATGACAGGTGGCCTGGCGCGGTAATCCTAAGGCTGGACATCCGGCCTGATTTTCAGCAAACTGCTTTTTTGGAAGGGGTGTATCGCATGAAGACAGAAATACTGTAGGTCAGAATAACGTGCCGAGAAAGGACACACCATGTCCACAGGGGACATTACTATCCTTCCAGTGGTCTTTATTGGTACTGCATTTCATATAAGACAGTGACTGCTTCAAACTGGACGTGCGTACTTTGGTAGGCCTCAGTTCACTCTGGTTTACTGTCAGTATTTCAGAAATCTGAAAAATCACTTGTGAAGAGGCCTGTTCAAATTTTTGGTGTCGAACGTGGGTTCTTTTAGACATGCCCTGCTCAGGGCTGAATAAGTGATATATTGCAGGTTAAATGTCTTTAGTTCCAGGTTCTGTGTTACAGTAGTGCATACAGGGCACACAAGCTTCAAAGCATTTTTGTAAGCATTCATAAAACATTTTCTAATGGAGCAGAACTATTTGCACTGTCGTGTGGTTGTTTCAGAAATATACAGATCAGGCTTATGATAATTTGTGGCTGCCCTCTTAAGTGAAGTAAAATAAGCGGTTTCCTATCCGACTCGATCAGCAGACAGATTTGATGGAACTGCGCAATGACCTGTTCAGACTGTGAACTTCAGACAAGTACTGCGAGATGTCAGGACAAGGGAAACCCTGGTGTGCTTGCTGTTGTGTTCTGGACAACCTTTAACTTGGTGGCTTTGAAGATCTTGGGTTACTGCAGTCTGCAGGGAGGAAGCACTTGTCAGAAGTTTAACAGGAAAACCAGAACTGGATTGTCAACGTTTCTAAACCTTTATGAAAGTGTGTGTTGTTGCGGGTGAATTGGTACCTGTTATGACCCTTCCCACTAATGACTGCAAGCTGTGTGCTTCTTGTATTTCTATCTTAACTTATCCTATTTTTTTTACTAGTCCTCTCTACTACTGATTTATTCGGCTGATGCTTTTATCCATTGTAACTTTCACGTACACTCATTTAAACAGCTTTGTATTGAGGCCAAGTACTGTGCTCAAGGGTACAATAGCAGTGTGTCACCTGGGATTCGAACCCGCAACCTTCCTGTTATGAGTCCAGAATCCTGACCACCCCTGGACCCTACTTCCCCAGTTCATTCTTCTACTCTTTAAAGACCTGCTGTTCTCCGAACATGTTTAAAAGAGATTAAAACTGTCTTGTGAGCAAAAACAGATTTATTTTATGTGCAGTGTTAAGTAAAATATTGTATCCAAAACCTGTATATTGCCGACATGTGTTTTATTGCCATTTGGAGGAATTGCTTGCTCTTCATGCACTTTGATACTCGGTAGTGACTTTGTTGCATTAGTAGTAAATCACTTTCATTAGCAAAACCTACTGAAAGACACGTCGGGTGAAAACGAAGAGAGAAAAATGCAGCAACTTACGGCACTTTCATTTGTGTGCTGTTTTTTCTTTTTTCAAGATTATACTAGGGAAGCACGCTGTTGTTTGCAATATGGGGTTTTCAGTGTCAGCTGTTCCTAGCCTGTCAGGAGAATACAGTGATCAGGGATGGGCCATGGTCTAGATCTAGGAAGAGCACAGGTGACTGCAAGGTGCTGTATTGAGCCCTGGGATCCCCACAAGTTGGCAACCTGCTGCAAAACATGCACCGTTTGTCCAGCTTCCCGATGACTGACGGCACCTTCCACAGCAGGCGATTCGTCAGATGTCTGAATGTACCTTTGTCATGCCGCCGGAATATTTATCAGTTTATATTGTGAATTAAGGGAACTGCTTTATGATGCTCACATAGATCAGTTTCACCACAAAAAGGTGAATCTAGAATATTTCCTAGATTCACAGCCTTCAGAAAATCTTATTAAATTTGTGGCTGCAGACAAATGTCGGACCCGCCCAAAACCATGTTGCTGGGTGCCAGATGTGTCGTTGAGGTGAGCCCAGTTCTTTACTGGAGACCCCGGTGTCTGTTTTTAACTTTTGTGTGTGTGGGGGGGGGGGGGTGACACACAAGGGCTTGCTAATGGTTGAGAATCTCCCCAAGTATTCAGAGGCCCTAGTATTGTTGCTTCTGGCAAGGAGTCAAATAGTGCCTCATTTATGACTGTTGTAGTTGTGCTCTGCAGCTTTACATAGGCAGTGGGAGGTTACAAGGATTTATGCAGAAGCTGCAAATTGGCAGGACTGCAGTTAAACAGCCTCAATATCTTGATAACTGTGGCCAGTTCTACGGACTGTTAAAATTGGTGTCGGCTATTGCACTTTTAGTACTAGACATAGAATGAGCATCTGCTTGGCGAGTCAGGAAAAACACAATCTGTAGCCATGGTAACTAAAGCAAGAAGAAAAGTTAACACTGTTTAAAGTCAGTCGACTTGATTGTCAGAGCAACTTTTTAGGTTAGGTTTTCAGGTTAATTTGTGGTGAGCTAAAAATAAGATACAAGAAAGAAAAATAACACACCTTATATACAAAATACAATACGATGTTACATTACAGTGAAAATAGAATCCACGAATTTACCAGTTAATTCAATAATTTTATAACTGTGAGCATGGATAGCTTCAGGATAGCTGCAGAACTGCTTGGTTCTGGATTTGAAGTTCCTGAGGAACGAAGCTCAAACATGAGATATGGTTTACAGCTTTTGAGTTGAATCCCTCCAGAATTTTGCAACATTTAAAAATATCCTGAATGCTCGGAAAAGTTTTGTAAGTTCTTGATAAAGGTGATGGATTACCAGGAGGATTTCTGTAACTCTCGTGGAGAGCAAGTTGGGGTGTGCGAAAAGACGAAGTCCTAATAGAGAAATTGTATATGGCCAAGAAAGTGATCTTATCTTATCTAAATGAGATAAGGTCATTAGGCCCATATAGCCTGTTTGGTAGGTAATTGATCCAAAGAGTTGAGAGGCCTGCGCAATGGAGACAGGTTGCAAGGTCTGCCCCTGCTAATCGTCACGGGTTGTGAAATGGAAACGTGCAGAAACCTTAATCCTTTGAAGCACTAGATCCTTGTCCTTTCACAGCTGCCCTGTAATTCCCCAAAATGAACCTTTTTAATCTCAAGCGGCGAAGGCTTCAAGGCGACCAGATATAGGTATTCAAAGGCTTTGACAAAGTCAGCACAGAGCACTTCTTCAAAGAGAACAGCAAAAGATGAACTGAAGACACAAGAGGAGGACATGTGGAAGTGCATTTAAAACCAAGACATGGGGGCACTTACGCAAAAGGTTGTGGGAGTGGGGAACAATATCGAGTCCTGTGGTTAAAGCTGTTATTCTGGCATTTTTCAAGAAACATCTAAAACCGGAAAACTGCTAACTACCAAAATGGGCCGTTTTGGAACCTGCCATATTTTTGAGAGTGAGGGGTCGTCCGCAGCATATTTCTACAGTTAAGTCTAGGATTAGCAGTATGTTAAAGGATCTGCGGTATAGAATGGTTTCAGTCTCTATTGGTAAGCTTTTCCACTTGCTTTAAATCCTGACCAGAAGGTGACCCTACTTACCCTGGAGTACAGTCATAGATTACCAAGTCAGTAGGGCCTTCAAAACACAGTAAAACCTTGTGCGTTCTGTGTGCTTTTTAAAATAGCAGTGTTTTTTCATTAAAAAAAATATAAGACAGTAGGGAGATCAATGCATTACAGTTATAGAACAAAATCAGATTTTATTTGAGACAGTGTAAAAAAAAAAAAAAGCTGATTTCTTGGGCTCATCTGTTGCTCTGTTTTCATGCAATTTCTCTGTCCCTCCTCCTGCCATATTCTCAGCTCCTAGAGGTCAGAGACTAACCTGGTTGTCTCATGCTTCCTGGTTTTATAGGTCACCCAATCGGGTGTCCGCTTCCAATTGGTCAGCTGACTGCGGACAGCTGGTCAAAGCCCCATTGCTCTCTGGGAAATTCTTTTGTGTCTCCACCTGCCTTCTTTTTACAGAACCTAAATTAAAACACTAAAGAGTATAAGAACATAAAATAAAAACGCTAACCTAAAATTGTAGGCTACAAAACCTAAAATGGAGAAATGTAAACCACACATGCAGTTTTGTTAATATGAATTGAATCCCAAAAGACAATATTGCCTGTGATTTTTATACTTGTGATAATTAGGAAGATGACAACACTTTTAATATGTAATATTAAAAAGGGTTAGTCTTACGAGCATTGAGTTGTAATGCCATCATGTTTGTGTAATAAAACCTTATCTGGTTCTACCTGTACACTTTATAAGCAAATAGAATAATTGAACTCGCAAGTTTGGTCTGACCAAAGTCAAAATTCTCCTTAGCATTTTAATATTCTGTGGAAACTTCTCAGTTTTTTGTGATTTGAAGCTTCTGTTTGGGAGGTTTTGTTAAGTTGGAGGCGTGAGGACCTAGACTCCTAGTGTAAATGTGACTGATGAGCAGGCAGTGAATAAACAGGGCTGAGCGTCCTGTGACACTCGGATCCAGTTTTTCTCCCACACTGAGCCTTCAAGTAGTAACGGTGGTGCTGTGCGATTTCTGAAATCTAATTTATTCTCTATATACAGTAAAACCTTTATTTAATAAAGTAATAGGGGTGAAGGGGTGTCTGTTTTTGATGATTGCTAAATTATAAAGTGTATGTTACAGCCACTGGACTACAGTATAGGAAATGATACGCATTCAGATTGCAACAATACTGCACATAATTGTTTAATGAGTGAAACGGTGAATTAGCAGTGACACGTGCTGTAGTGTATCATACTGAAGGTTTGGTATGCTGTTGCTGCCAAGAGTGTGAACAGACTGGGAAACTGGATGTGAGTACATAGTTACTCCAACGTCACAAGTTTGTAATGAATCCATTACATAAATACATATGTGTATTTATTACACGGTGTGCCCATAAGCATTACATTTTTACTTTTAAATTATTGCAGTGCTGTAATGAATATTTCTATATTTAGTTTGACCTGCTTTTTCTTATATCACTGCACATTTGTTTGTGGTTCTTTGCTGAAGCCTTTATATCAGTCAACAACAACATCTTTACCAAATTTCTTCACATTTACTCATCTGCATGTGGCGAATGTAATAAGTCACAATCACTAGAATCATCTACTGGTCATGGTTCAATACTATTGAGTCATAGAAAATATCGGTACTGGACATATATTTAACGGGCACTTTCTGTTTATTTTAGCAGATGTGCGGTATTTTGGGGGTCTGGATAGAGATCAGGAATGTTGGAGCCTTTCCTTGAAACAGAGGTTTTACTGGACAGGTTTTGTGGCGTGTCTGAGGTGTTGTCTAGCCCCAGCGCACACACGACCGGGGATGTGCTCAGAGCCTGTTCACATGGGAGAGCCTCACGTGGTGCAGATTCAGGTTTTCATGTTTGATGGACATTAAAAAAGGGCCGTGTCTCTGCGCAGCCGAACGAGCGCCTGGGGTTTTTAAGGTCATCTGTTCCTGGCAGGATAACGTGATTTTGCGCCTTTTGAGGCGAAGTAGGGTCAAACATTGAAGCAAGTTTAATTTCAAATCTTAAATTGTACAGTTCTCGGGTCGGTGGAGGGAGGGGTGCCGAAAAAGCTTTATTTATCCATGTGGGCCGGGAAAAAGTTGGCGGTCTTGGGTCTGGAGAACAAACCCGGATTATGGAGCGGCGAATGCTGCCTTGGCCAGTGTTTCATGCTTTGTCTCCTCGTTGTTGTTTTTTTTTCCCCGTGCCACAGGAAGCGGAGTATAACGTCCACGAACAGATAGACCTGTACGACGACGTCATCTCGCCATCTGCCAATAATGGGGACGCCCCAGAGGACCGCGACTACCTGGACAACCTGCCCCCGGCCGTGGGCGACGACGGGGGCAAGGGCCCCCCCGCCAACGTCGTCTACACCTACACCGGCAAGAGGATCGCCCTGTACATCGGCAACCTGACATGGGTGCGCGTCGCTCCCCGTCCGCGCTGTCTCTCGCAGCGTGGGCCCCTGGGGTCTTTACCAGCCGCGTAGCAGTAGGGCGCCGCCCCACTGGGCCCGACGCAGCGGGGTGATAAAAATAGGCAGGTCCACACGTGCAGGGCTGCGAGATGCTTTATTCACAGTGCAAGGGACAAAGAAAACGGCCCAAACCGAAGATAGACCAAACAAAACCCTAAGCTCCTCCAGAGCTACCGACTGAAGGTCTTGATAAAGTTACTGTCGCAGCCCGCCAGCTTAGACGCTCGCTGGCTTCATAATAAACAATTCATTCTTTCTTCCACGATTTCTTCTCAAGCCTGGTCTCACTTTTGTGATGCTTTACAAACAGGCACTTTCAAAGTTCTTCAAACTCCCAGTTCCTTTTGTCCTTAAGTCGGTTGCGTCTGTCTCCCGGGCCTCTGGTGAGTGCGCACTGCAGAGCAGTGATCTGTGCTGCCACCCAGCAGATTGACAGACCTCCTGCTTTTCACACTGTCACCTGGCCAACTGGTGACGTGACCGAGAGCAGCAGCAGCTCGTTTCTCCAGCGGTTTCTTGGCAACACGGTCCACTGGGGGTTGTGCTCTCTAACAGTATTTTTTAAAAATGTGTACATTTTTTTTTGTTCGTGTAGAGAGTCCTTGTTATACAACAGCAGCCAAAGCGCCGATGCGAATTTATCAAGTTTTGTCTTTCTGTCGTGTCAGTGGACAACAGATGAGGACTTGACTGACGCCATTCGCTCAGTTGGGATAAATGACGTGTTGGAGATCAAGTTCTTCGAAAACAGAGCCAACGGCCAGTCGAAGGGGTAAGGTTATTCTCTGAGCGCACTTCAGTCTTGCACAGTCAGGAACTTGGTCAACAAGCTCCCGTTTTTATCTAGTGCTGTGTGATGGAGGCAGTCTTTGTTTCTGGTGCACGTTCAGCGTCTACGTATGAGACGGGCCGCACTCTGTAAGACTGTTCAGTTTTTCAAGTCGGGCGAAAGAGGAAAAAAAAAGACAGGAGAGCAAGAGCTCCGTGTTTCACCATGATTGTTCCCAGCCAGGAGTCTTGGGTTCCCAGAGTTTAGGAACGGGAGCTCGCAGCTTGAGTTTTGCCAGTGCGGTGTTTCTGACGGCTTGTCCTGCCTCTTCAGGTTCGCCCTGGTCTGTGTGGGATCGGAGGCCTCGTCCAGGAAGCTGATGGACCTGCTGTCGAAAAGGGAACTCCACGGGCAGAACCCCATCGTTACTCCCTGTAACAAACAGTCACTGAGTCAGTTTGAAATGCAATCCAGGAAAAGTATGTCGATAGCAGGCAGGACTTGCGCATTCAACAAAACTGCAGTAATGCTAGAAAGAAACTGTGTCTTTGATACCAGTTTTCCATCCGTGCTACTGTACATCTCATAGTCCAGGCTTCCAAAAAGTAGCCGTTTATCCGTTTCAAAGCTGCAAAATGAGTTTGTTGAAATGTTCCTGCTCTTAATTCGAATGTATGTTGAGAGGTGAATTGGCAGTAATTGTTTTTAGCTGTAATGTGAAATCATGCTTAAAATTTGTCGCACTGTATGGTATCGCTTAGGGTGCAACCGACCCATTTAGAGGTGTATCCATGTGCAGAACGGTTAAAAATCCTTTATACGCATGTACCCGCAGTGAAAAATTAGTCCTTCGTGTTGGTTTTCGTGGCTTTTCTGCATGGACTGCAGATAATTCGGCACAGTGTGGTTTTAGGGAGTTCGGGGACGGCGTTGACTCTGCAAGACTTCGAATTTAATTTCGGTTTCCTTTCCAGCTACGCAGTCGGGACAGATGTCTGGCGAAGGCAAGGCCGGCCCGCCCGGAGCCTCCTCACGAGCAGCGTTTGCCATGGGTGGCCGAGGGAGGGGTCGCTTCCCTGGCCCCCCGGGGCCCGGGGGAGACCGCTTTCCTGGGCCTGTGGGACCTGGAGGCCCACCTCCTCCTTTCCCAGGTAACCAGGGGCACCGGACACACACGCAGAGAGGACGTGTGCGGGGTAGCGTTTCGTGAGAGAGCCGCCCCCTCCCCAGCTCCACCAGGAGAGAGCTTAACCCACAAGTCCGTTAACGTCTCCCACCCTGCTTTGGTGGGGCCACCCTCTATGGGGGTGTGAGGGTGGTCCAGCCAGCTGGCCCATCTTTTTTTTTCCCCCCACCGTTTTTTTTTTTTTTGGTTTTTGGTTTTGCCTTGGCTCCTCTGTGTGTTCCTGCCAGAGAAGGCGCCAGTTGTGATTATGGTTTTTCTTCCACTAGGATCTGGGCTGAGACCACCCCAACTCATTTCCCATAGGCACCAGGACAGCCATCTGATGGAAATGAGTTTCAATTGCTTCCAGCCTGGGCGGGATGCGAACTGGCGACCCAGAGGTGAAACGCCTCATCTCCTATTGATAGTGTTCTGTTAAGAGTCAACCCCCCTCGCTTTGCGGAGTCAAGAACTGACTCCCGTCTTTACGCTGTCTTGGAGGGGTGGTGATTTGTGCCGGGTGAGAGTGGTAGGTCAGTGGGCTAGACAGGTGCACAGTGGAGCTCTTTCAAATGGGGGAAGAAAAGATGATTTTCTTCAGCCAGCAGCTCATACATGTGATGGACCTGCTGGTCCGCACTGATGTTGGCAGGATATTAAAAGAGGCTGTAATTATTTCCTGTGTCTCTGCTGTGGTAAGGATGTCGAGAAGTGGCCTCCTAATGTATTGTTCTCTTTCTGCGATTCCGTGTCGCTTTGCCGTTTCTTGAGTTGGAGTGTCGTGCTAAGGCCATTTTGTCCTCAGCCGTCTGCGCACACTAGACCACGACACGCATGACTGAAATCTGTGCATGTTCACTACAGTTTTGAGAGGATCATTGATGCCCCTTCCTTTCCAAAGCCCAGATTCTGCTTAAGATGATGAGCAAGCTAAATTAGCCCTGTTTTATGTGCCTTCGGCTGCAGCTTATTAGCAGAAAATATAGAGAAAACTATCGAATGGAGTTGCATCCCCTTGCCGTTTGGTTTATGGCTGCTTGGGCAAAGATAATCCCTGTTCCTTTTCTCGTTCCACTGTCACGAACGCAGTGAGGTGGAAATCTCTCATGTAGAGGCTTTCTTTTTTTGAGGAGGCACCAGTTGCGGGATTGGTATTAATGTAGAATGTCTTATGGTCACTTTTTGGCTCCTGGGGTGTTTTCACCCAGCTCGTGTACCGGTGGACTTGATGTGTTCATTGGATAGGTGCTGCATGAGGTTCTGTTATGAAAAGGCCTCCACAACCTTGTTCTGCTTTAATAATCCTTGGAAAGATGGTTGAAAGCCCTACATTGACCAGTGCTTCCTGGTCCTGGAGGAACACGGTCCCTTCTGGAGCACTGCTTGTACTTCGGCCGGATTCTTAGTCCCAGTCTGATTGAATCCAGTTCTTTTTTTGGTGTGTATTGATAAACTTCCTTACAGCTCATAATAGGTCCAGTGGGATTTGTCTTTGGCATCAACCCTGTACCGATTTCTGGCTTTTATAATTGTCCTTTTTCAGGTTTGATGTCTGAATTGTATCCAATTTCAACCACGAAATCTCACTGCGGAAGTATCCGATTACAGCATCATTCTGTTTGTCAATTAGTAAGGGCTGTTCAGTCAGAAATATGGGAAAAACAATCTGAGGTGTGCTGAACCTGTTGGAAACCGTACCCTTGAAGTCAGGTGTTTTTGATGAAGAACCAAGTTAAAAGTGTAAACAAGGAAGGAGATGAATTAAGTCATCAATTAGCGCAGGCTATTTAGTGGCCAACTGGAATATCTGCGCTGTTCCCCTAGGACCGGAATTAGGAACCACCAATCTACAACACTGAACTGCAAACAATGTCAACTTGACTCTTCTTTTGCTAACTGTGGCTCCCAGTCCTTGGTTTGATGCCAGTAAGGGTGGTGTCTGATTAGTACTTGTATGTCAAAAGTGTAGTAAGGCTGTAAAGGGGCCTCATCTTCCATCATTGGCACATGGTATGGTTTTCACTGTGAGATGTTGCTCATCTCCTTCAAGTTAACTCAGCCGACGGGTAACTTGTACCACCACACTGTACCAGCGATATGACAGCATTTAGTCGAGACTCGCTAGTGTGATGGACCCTTCATAGTCATTGCAGCGTCTCTGACCTTTTGCCTTGGTAACAGTGGCGAGTAGGAATGAATGAAGAAGTTAAGGTGCTGCTTGGTGGGTGACATCGGTGATGTACAGAAGTCTTGCTCAGAAAGCGACCTTTGGTGCATGTGCACAAGAACCTGTGGAAATTGAAGACAGGGTGAGATACCGTGCCTGTTTATTGTGCAAAATAAGACCCTGCTGCTCCATGTGAATCTTGTGGGCACGTCAGTGTGAATTGGGACTATATACATAGCAGTGGTGATGGTACTAGAACCCCAGCACATGAAATAAATATGTGGGTCGTTTGTTTCTGCGTTTGACAGTAGATCCTATAATGCAAGACAGTGAGAACTACATGTACTGTAGCATGTGGGAATCGGAGCCCACAGAACTGGAAGATTTGCCTTGATATGAGGTGGCAGGGTGGATCGTGTGGAAATGGAGCTTGATGCTCATCAAGTGGAGGACCCCTGCAGTGTTCCTCCTCAAGGGGCTGTGTTTTGGTCAGATTACATGCTGATTGGTTGAAAAGTAATACTGAGGTTAAGTGAGTATAGCTCACTGTGGGGATATTGCACAAAATGTTGCTTCTCGGGTTCTTGAAAATGTTGAATTACATATCAGGAGAGGAGCAAAAGGGCAATTGTGCTAACACTGGACCAGATGTCTGCATGAAGGTGAAACTTTTTACAAGTTTTTACGAGCGTAAATGCATTCAGGTTTTATCCTCTTGCTTTCCTTCATATGTCCTATTGCTCTACAGTGCTGTTAAATGCTTCTTCATTGTCTTGACTTGAAGGTGTTGTGCACCTGCCTCTGGGTCTGTTGGTCTATTGAGAGCGAAGTGAAATAAATGGAGTGTCTTGATAAGATGTATTAAAGGAACTCCAAGTTGCAGCCTCGTGGAGGCAACTTAAGTTTTGCCCTATTGGTTTGTTCTGGGTGTGTTTTATTTTAAAAGAGCTTTGGACTCCTTTTTGGGGTTTCTTTGCCATCATAAACCTGTTTTGGACTCCTCTTAACCCAGCCCTGATATTGGCATAGTTTATAAGCCAAATGAGTGACCCAGTTTTGGTACTTGTATTCCGATTATTCAAAGATGAATAAAGGTCAGTAGATTACTGATTTGTCTAAGCCCATACCTACATTTAGAGCGGTCAGGTATATAGTCATTGTAAAACTTAATCCATTTGATAAGCAATGGATATTGTCCTGTTCCTGAAATTTGTGGGCAATTAGACTTCCAAACAGTGGAAGGCTACCACAATTGTAAGGATTTTTTTTCTTCCCACTTTTGAAACTGCTGGTTTGAAGACTGGGCAGCTGAGCAACTTCATACCAAGCAGGTAAATGGGGACAGAGAAAACTGCATCAGCTCTGACCTGCATGTTCAAAAACCTTTTCAAAGTCTTATGAACAGCTTTACTGATGATGATTTTAAACTTGACTGGACTTGGCCATCAGCTAACGCCTTTTCAAATTGGCACTTGAAAGGTTGCTGCAATACTTTATCAATATGCCGTTAACTATTTTGCGAAATGTAACGTGTCCCACAAACTGCTCATAAGCTGTTGGATGTGTTCATTCCTGAACATGGGTGTAATTCATGAACAACAAAATCAGTTTTTAATAAGGGCCATCAGTTCTTGGTAAAATACAAATGCAAACAGCTCCTCTTGAAGTAATGTTTTGCCATTAACTTCAGACTTGGTAGGTATAATTCTAGTGACAACACGGGTGACCTAACAAAATGGTGCTCCTGCATAAACCACTGTTATCACATGACTGACCTTGTTTCAGGAAGTGTTACTGTGGCAACCATGGTTACCTTGAACCTCGGTGGCCTCATCACATTAAATGATAAATTTTATGGATCTTTATTATGACTTTTGTTTCCTTGACGTATCACACCGCTCGTATGGCCGGAGTCTTCTCTAATGCTCTCTAGTGCTCATTATGAAAAGGTGCTCTGCAAACTGTGCAATGATGAAAGCAATTTGCTTTGAAAAGTGTTGTGTGCTTATCAACTAAAGTACTCCCAAGGTCACTGTTTGGTATGAAGTCTTGGGGTTAAATGTTTTTCCAGCTCATAAACACTATTATATGAGAAAGAAAATACACCTTTAATTATTTCTGGATCTTTCAACTTATTTTTTTAACAACTGCAATCAACACAATGAAAATTGCTTCCAGTGTCTGCTGTCATAAAATATGCTCTTCATTTCAATGCATAATTTTAGTGAATTTTTTAAAACGTGTTTTTTAAAAATGTGCTAAAGCATACAAAATGCAAACACCCCTCGGAAGCAATTTGCCTAACCCTGTAAAAATTGCCCTTTACTTGTTCATTATTGTGGAAAGGGTCTAGTATTTGATTTACCAAACTTTGTAGATTTTGTCAGTTAAATCTGTAGTCTGTTAAAGAGAGGTGCTACATGAGTTTGTCCCTTTCATGCAGTTGACAACCCTGCTTTGACAAGCTAATCTTTTACATGAAAGGGATATAACTGTGACCTCTGATGATTGAATTTACTAGAATGTTTCATGTGAATATTTCATCCATCAAAAGCGATACTGTGTTCAGGATCTTTGATTTCCATATTGCCTGTTTGTAGCCTGATCTTGTCGTATTGTGGAAGGTAAGCGGGGTTGGGGCTGGTCATTGCCGAGTTGGGAGTCCTCCAAAGGAAAGTCCGGCTGCTGGTGGACCAGCAGGAGGCGCTCTGCTCTTTAAACCAGCTTTTCCAAACCAGTGCCCCTCTGGCAGCGGGGGGTCACTGTGCACCTGCCTTTGTTTGAGACGTTAACCCCAGTTAATCCTGGCTCAGTTCCACGTTTGGATGATACAATCCGGCCTCTCTACATTTTCTCCTCATTTTGGGATGCAAAGTTCTGTACAAATGCAAGAATTTTTTTATAGCTTTTTGTCTCTTCCCCCCCACTCCTTGGACTCTGGCTTTCAAAATGGCATGACCACACCCTGTTCGTACGACTGAACTCCTGGTGTGTGGATATTTCACTTACAGACATCGCACGAAGATGCTGAATTTTTTTTGGGGAAAAATACATAGTCTGGGTGACTAGATGGTCTCGGTCTCTGCAGATGAATTTTGACCACAACTCTTATTTCCTTTGCTCTCTGGATAATGGATATGGCAGCTGAACTGTTTCATCCACTTGGACTGTTTTTTTTCCCCCCTGGCTGACTACATCCTATATACTGATGGCTTGTCAACTTGTCTATTCCTATTTTGAATTTAAATTCAGAACAGGGGGTGGTGGTTTATTTTTTTTTCCCCATCCCCTGCAGAATGCACATTTTTCTGGGAAGCAATTTGTGTTAAAAATTTGAAGAAGCACCTGAGAAATGCTCTTTCTTCCTGTTGTTTTTCCTTCCATTCCTTTGCATTCTTTGGGTTTATTATTCTTAACGCCGAGTTCTGTTTGCTCTCTCTTCAGAGCACAGTTAGTCGAAGGACAGTTGGGAGTCTTCCTGACTACAGGTTTCCTTTTGGGTGCCCTATGGGAACTGTCTGGCCAGCATGGTCAGCAATAAGAGTTTTTTTTTCTTTGTCGACAAAATTTCAAAGCACTTTCCAAGAGTTGGAGCTGAGGGCAGGATTTTATTCGGTTGAACTTCTGCGGCTGGTGTTTCTGGCAGCTGTGTAGTCACATTTTTTGTTTTGTTTTCCTACCCCCCCCTTCTCTCTTCCAGGAGGCTTGCAAGGAGGACCACCACGCCCGCCGCCTGGCCCCCCCGGCCCCCCTGGCCCTCCGGGGCCTCCCCCCCCCGGGCAGGCTCTGCCCCCTCCGCTC